TTTATAAGTTGCCTGTTTTAACTGTGAACGATATTTTCGGCCATAATTCCTATAATATTTCACGAATTTCAGCAGGCGTAGTAGATTTAGATTAGTTCAAATACATATATTAAACTAACGATGAAAATTTATCTTATATTAAACACGTATAATAATAATGACTGAAAAATGATAAACATGATATTATATATATGTATATATACATGTATATACTGAACATTGTAACCAATAAACTGTACTGTTATTAAAGGAGACATTAAAGAAAGAACAGGCTATAACTCGCTTACAAAACATATAGTTTCTAACCCTACAATTACCGATGAGGCCCATATGGACTCCATTGGATTCTAAAACATATTATTCTAAATAATTTATGCACCAAGTTGCTTATATGTCAATAGATATCTTTGTTGATTATATGATCCCTAATGACATACAAGTCACACATAAACCCCCAGACAAATGTAAAAAGAAATGCCATGAATATTAGGGTTAGTCGCACTAATTGCTATTGGGATGTCCTATGTATGAAGCATAAAAATAAGTTATTTCCCTAATGTTTTTGGTCAGTTATTTACATTGAGTGTTTTAACGGGCGAAAGCCTACACATTTTATGCTGTTATAACTTTATTATTTTTGTCTTGTGAGTCTTATTATTATTATTCTCTAACTTATAAATACGTGATTTTATTGATGGTGTTTAGAATGTTGAAAGTTCTTACCTTTAGCTGTTTATTTCTCGTTTTAGAGAATAATATATATCTTACTGACATATAGTGTTTTTTAATTATATATCTTACTGACATATAGTGTTTTTTAATATATATCTTACTGACATATAGTGTTTTTTAATATATATCTTACTGACATATAGTGTTTTTGTTTGCTTGTTCTGAAGATAAAGCTACACTATAATGTTTGAGTACAAGGTGAAATGTTCTCGGTTTAACACAACAACGGTATACTGGAGAAAAAAAGTAACACCTTCTGAGAAAGTTAAACACTGTCGGAAGGTCAAATGAATACTGGAAGGATCTTGCTCAGAATTTTATATGTACCCCCCCCCCTCCACACACACAACAACAACAAAGGCATAATAATAATATAGCTGGGTGAGATAAGCATATATATGGTTTATACGTTACGTGTCAGTACTTTTCTCCATACAGTGACAGTTATTAATCTTATTTCATATCCAGTTTCCAGTACCTTTTCATATAGGTTGTATTAAGGATATTTTTTTTTTGAAGTCAGAAATTTTAGAATTGGTAGGACAACTGTTAACGTGGTGCTATGCTGTGACCAGCTTTTGTTGGTTTAGACGGACCTAAAAATATATTTATTGGTAATATATTTTTGCATTCTAGCAAAATTCTACAAGTATACATATATATATATATATAATAAACATCCACCAACACATCACATTCTACAAGTATATATATATAATAAACGTCCACCAACACATCACATTCTACAAGTATATATATATATATAATAAACATCAATCAACACATCACATTCTACAAGTGCATATATATATATATATATAATAAACATCCATCAACACATCACATTCTACAAATGCATATATATATATAATAAACGTCCACCAACACATCACATTCTACAAGTATATATATACATATAATAAACATCAATCAACACATCACATTCTACAAGTGCATATATATATATATAATAAACATCAATCAACACATCACATTCTACAAGTGCATATATATATATATATATATGTATTAAACATCCACCAACACATCACATTCTACAAGT